TTCGACAATATATCAATTATATTGAACAGTAAGGAGTTGAGCAAGAATAAATCGCTGCTGTGTTAATTTTTGTTAGCTGTTTATCTGTTAATGTATTAGTATTCATTAATTAATAATAGATATATAAGATATTATATTATATATAAGATATTATTATTATGTTGAATCTAGTTTAGTCAGTGCACTTGAGCACTTTTACTCTTTCTTAACTCGAGATATTTTCAAAACCCCTCTTTACGCCTTGACTGGATTATTGTTTATCACTTCAACAGACTAAGCAATAATTGATCTTTAAAGAACTTTAAAAATCAAATTAAATATGTTATATTAATATTTTAAATAATTGTTGTTCGTAAAAAACTATTTATAGCTTTTAAAAAGTGTATATATGCCTTCTTAATTTTAGTTTTTACCCTTAATAACTTTGAAAATAAAATATTTATTAATATTCACTAACGAATATTACAGACTGTGAGTGTAGCTCCTCAGCAAAGTCTACTTGACCAATAATAATTTCTAATTATTTTAATTTACTATGCATATTACAAAGGCAACAACTCTCAAACCACAATCATGCCAAGGGCAACAATTAATGCAATGCATTACAAAGTTGTAGGAATATCCAGTAATATCTTTCGATCATCATTGCGTTTGGAAATCAAGAGCCGAGGTGTTTCCAGATTGCATTAAACTCACACTTGCACTTTACTCGGTTAGGAGGCAGTTTTGTTAACGTGGCACAAACAACCACAATTCTGTTCTTGCGTCTTTGCGGTTGCACATGCGCCTTGCCTCGCACTGCAATTCTGATTACTCCTGTTCTCGGTGGCTACGTTCAAGTGTTTGGCATATCCTCTGTCTGTCTGTTTGCTTAGTTGACTATAGTTGACTATAGTTTTATGCTTGGCTACCGACTGTGTTACACGCTGTTGTTGAAAACAAATGACCAAGAAATTAGCTTCATAAGTGCTTTGAATAAAGAGCGGCTAAGCAAAACTATAAGTTTATATATAGAACTTTTAGGAGTGCTTCCTGCTGAAGCTAACAATCATTTTAAGGTTGTATAATTATTGTTAATTATAGTTAACAAATTTAATTTGTGTTAAGTTTAGTTTAGATTGTTTTTCTTTTTGCAACTCGATTTGATTATCTGAATCTCTATATTAATAACTATCACTTTTCTTAAAAATTACAATACCTTTTTAAATCCATGCTAGACTGGCACTTTGGCGTACAAAATAATTGTGTTGCTAATCATTAGCGAAAGACCTTTAAATATCTGATAATAACTTTGAAAAACTGACAAACGTTGTATGTGAAAAAGATATATTAAAATTAGCGAAGACATCGAAGACTCCATTAACATATATATATTTAATCAGCTTAACGAGATGGATGGATTTATTGATAAAAAGCTTATCTATATGTGTGATTCAAATTTCAGATATTCAAATCCAGATAAATAAAGTTTTAATTAAAATTACGTTATAAATTTAATAACATTATAACTACATATCGTACTTAAAATATAGATAATTGGTCAATATGTTAGATTGTTCCAAATAAAAGGCTTTGTTTAGAAAATGTTTTCTTCTTTCTCTCCTTCTTTCTTGTTTAAAATTTATGTATACATATTTGTTATTATAATTATTTTATTTTATTATAACTGTTATAGTTCATTCGTTATCCGATTCATATGATAACTAAAAATAGAGCTAACTCACTAGCTGCAGAAAGGAATTTTAGTTGAAGACACTATAATAAAAAAATTAGTAATATAAAATCATAAGATTGCCTTCGGTGTACCATATATCTACATTTTCAAAAGAGATAAAAGATAAATTAAAAAAAAAAAACAGCACCTTTGCGGTGTATATACTGTATGTAAAAGGCAGATAACAGATGTAAATATTCGGCAACACAAAATTCATCTTATATATTTCAACTATATTATAGATGATATATAGCAGTGCATTATCGGATCTTACTGTTGTTAATGATTCCACTTATCGATAATAAAAGTAATGAAAATGGTGTGTTCACTATATACTAAATGTTTTAGGTATGGTCTTTCAAAACCATGACCAACTGACTCATTATTGTTCACGCTCCTTTAATATTTCGATGACATATAAACAATAAAATTATTATTTAACAAGTTTATCAAATAGAATGAATATATATTTAAATATAAAACATTTCTTATCCAGAACTTACGATTTGAATAAGTTACAAACTATATATGACTGAAATAATTATTCATATTCTATTATTATTCACCCTCTTTATTATTATTTCTTATAAATTATTCTTAGTATCTGGCATACATAAATGAGCAGCTGTGGGATGTCATTACTTTGCAGTTTGAGGACTTCAATTGTCTCGTTTTGTTCTGGACGTTCTATTTTTAATGCAAAGTACCATTCCTAGATACCAAAAGTCGTACTTTTTAACTCGGCATTATCTACAGTGAATCCAACTCAACTTCTTTCATTTTTCGGAAACAACATAATTCATCTTGGTATGATAATTCTAAGTCCTATTTTACCCCACGCTCTTTTGTCTTATAAACTGTGTTTAGAGTACGTTTTTATACCTACTTTCGAAATTTAATACTAGTTTGAAGACAAGTGCTGAAAGGACATTTCTTTGTTACACACAGGAGATATCCTCAGTTCTTTTTGAATGAGGACTTTATTTTTGTGTTTTTATTGTAATTTCTACCCATCCCGGTAGCTTCTTCAAATTGTTCGTTGGAATTAGATCCGTTTGATACTATTAAAATCTGAATATATAAATTGGAGCTAAATACCAGTATCTTTTATATGGAATTTAGTTATAATTTAGCAGAATGAGCGTTTTATAACTAATCTTTTTGGGCGAAAAGGATTGGTGACGTAGTTAAGCGCCATCCAACTAGTTCATTTATTTAGGTATGTCGTACGAATATTTGAAATTGCTCAGGCTAAAAAATATGGAAAAGCAATGCCCGCTAATGAAAGACACGATAGAGAATGTCAACATCTTTGGTGGAAGAACTAGGTAATCAGCAGTACAAAGGCATTTGGTACTACCAACTAGCAGTAGCAAGCCAACGATAGGGCTGACTGAAGGGGATTCACAACTTATGTAAACGCCGATATTCCTCGACTCTGTAATGGCACATATGATTATGTTAATCATAGCGCTTTATTTCTAGCAGACTCTATCTTTTATCTAAATATGTCTTAGTTTCTTTTTCATTTTCCGCGCAACTCCATCTTAACAAACTAAATTAATTTCATTATAATTGAATATTTATCTATTTTTGTACAGATATAATCCTCAACTTCTAGCTGTTTGATTGGCTGTCTTCTATATATAGAAGTCTGATATAATAGATAGATATAGAAGATATTTTATATTTTCATTTTTTGAAGTTTTTCATGTATCTCATCTCTCTATATTTAACTTCACCGCTTTTCTTCTATTCCTCTGCTCAACTCTTTTCTATCCTAGTATGCCTTATTTTTTTCGTTGTTTTTCGAGCAGCCCGGTCTCGTCATACTTAATTAATCCAGCTTTATTTATCAATCAATATATATATCCATTTTTTAGATATTCTTTTAAAACTTCACATAGACTCAGCGTTAATTCATAACGATGAGTCTTTTATATTTCTTATGATTTATTGAGCATTGGTTAAATGTTATTTTTTGAAAGACGTCTTCTATGCTCTTGGTTACTTGGATTATCTCTTGCCATAACTTAACATCGATTATTTATTGTTCTTAAATTTAAAAAGATTGGAGATAAGCTCTTAGTATAACAGAAAGTTTTTTGTTGTTGTTAGATTAAAATCATACATACATATTCATGTTCTACTAAGTATATTATAATAAATTAATAAATAAGATACAAAGATACAATATCTTGCAAACAAATTCCATATCGAATTTTGATCGCTAAAATTGTATTCTAATATTGGCAACTCATGAGGCTCCAAAGAGAAAGGTGGAATCTTGCTCAACATCGTTCGAAATTAAATAAAAATTATTTACGTGATTTTTTGCAATTCTTTTGCGAAAAAGATAGAACCTTTTTCGTTGTTCGCAGTTTGTTATTGTATCTTATCATTTCGTGATTTGCGAAAGTCCATTAAATTTGATTAAAATTAATGCAGGCTTAGCTATGTTAATAAACATTGGAATTTAAATTTATTTTGTTAATTTATAAGAAACAATTTTTTTTATTTTTATTTGTTTTTGGTCAATAAATTTTTGAGATATGATTTTTAATGTACGAAGAATTAATTCCACAAGGTTTGACGTTTCGAAAAATTCTTATCTTTTTGTATGGAGAGTTTTCAACTAGCCTTCATGCTATATGCCATATTAGGTTTCTCTAGGTCAGTAAATTAGACATTAAAAATTGTATAATAATTATATAGACCATAAAGACAATATATAGAAAAAAAAATATATATGAAAATTATTATTGGGAACCCCAATGACAATTTGTGCTAATATCCATTAAAATCATAAAAAATCAGTTTCCAATTAAATAATATTTCGCACACCAGAATCGATAAGGTGTGAGATTTGACCTGCATTTCGCACTAATCAAGCTAAGTACGAATAATTGGTTCGGTGTACCGAAGCTAATTAAATTCTCCATTACGCCTTCCTGGTTCGTTGAATTTTTTGGGCTTTCAGTTATTCATTACTTGAGCTCATATATTCAGTAATTATTTGTATTAAAAATACATGTCAATGAGATAAATAAATACTTGGGCATATGGAAAATAACAATAGCAGAGGCATTGGAATAGTTCACAATGAGAAGCTCTGAGTCAAGTAATTGCCTGTCCGGCTTACGCATGACCGGGCATATTTGGCAGACACGTGAGCTGTTAAACGTATCCGTCGTAATTAACTTTTTAGTCGCGCATTTGTTAAATTTAATTTAATCATAATAAAAAGTTTTCATTGTGATTACAAATTAAATTGAAACCATTTACCGCACTTATTTTGCACAACGGTCGATCGGTCGGTTGGTCGGTCGGTCTGTGAAGTTTATTCACAGCTAAGAGTATAAATTTTTTGTTCTACAAAAAGTTGGAAATGCTAACATAGCAACTTTTATGAGTCGACTTTAATGCTTATTTTTTCGTTTCATGCCAATCGACAAGTGTGAACAGAATTTGAGGCAAAATATCTATGGTAATTCATCACTTAATCCTACCAGTTTTGAGCGAACGGTTATTGACCACACCGGTTGGTGGTTTATGCTCACTTTTATGACTTTAAGAAATTTGCAGTAGTTCTTGAAAAAACTATAAACATTCTGATAGGGTTCAGCTTTTTATATTTAGTGGGACAATTGAATGGTTGGACGACTGGTATACACACCTTAAAAAAATGGATATATAAGTGAAAAGTAGTTGCTTAGCATATAGATATAGTTAGTTGAAGTGGAGAGAGGAACAAATTCTCCTTAATATTAGCTAAGAAAGCAGTTTTGAATCCACAAATCCTCGTAATAATATGAAGAAGAAAGTCATGTTGCTGTTATCTTTTTTCAGGTCAGAGAAGTGGCATGATAGATCAAGTCGATACAGGTTTATATGCGTTATAAAGACACAAACTAATGAAACTCATTATGCAAAATAAAAATGCAGCTAGGACATACCTTCTACTGAAAGTAAAGTACGGATTTTGTAAATAAAACACACAAATTTAAATTTTATGCCAAATTTATTTTATCTCCTTCAAAATATGCTCCTTCTGAAGCGATACACATATGCCAACGCTTAACCCAATCTTCCATACACTTTTCGTAGGCCCGTGCAGGTATGGCTTTTAGTTCCTTCTGCGAATTCTCTTTTACCGATTCAATCGACTCAAAACACTTACCACGAAGGAGCAATTTGAGTTTCGGGAACAGGAAAAAGTCGCACGGCGCCAGATCTGGCAAATATGGTGCCTGAGCGATGATAGTGGTGCCGTGTTTGGTCAAAAAATCGCGTACAACAAGAATTTTCCATAGTAAAAATCGCTAAATGCACTTGGTAGTCTCACATTAACAGCTGCTGTAAACAAACTAATTGACAGATGGCGCTCAAACTTGTATCATACGTCCAGAAAGGGTGTACCAATATAACAAAAAAAAATTTTTGAAAAAGGTCTATTACTTAAGGAGTAGTTAACAAACAACAAAATGCGGATACTCCGGACACTGAGCAGAAGGTAATTTAGAAAATAACTATTTTATACGCAAAAAGCTTTTTTAAACATATGGATCTAACTTAACTTTAGTTGGGTTAGAACAGTTCATGCTACTCAGGAAGTCGAGATGATGAGCAGAATTTAGTGGAAAAATTGGCTTCTAATATATATAGTTGGAAGCAAAATGCTGTCGAGTAGAACTCGCCAAAAAGCGATAAATGGAATATACTCAAGATGAGTATACATATATATTTTATATACCACTGGTACTGCACAGCTCCTCGAAATGTTTTGCTAGTATCCACCAATAATAAAAATATTTTTGTCTGTATGAAATCTTTGACTAAACAAATCCTACTTTCAATACCAGATATATGTAGTAGAATTATTAATTAAATTATTTAGAATTCATATTAAAAACTAACGAAGTCCATCTATTTGACCAATGCTTGGACCTTAAAGATTCTCTCCTGCAAACTTTTTCATTCTTTGTTTTAATTAAAAATAAGATTTTTAAGAATAATATTTTCCTAGTATTAATAAAATTTATTATCGTTAACTATAATTTATTAATACTTATTATCTTACATATGAAGATCTATTAAAAATTATTAAATGAATCTTGTCTTAATTTTCAATGGAAATACAAAAAAAAGTACTACTAGCAAATGTTTACTATTTACTTTAGAGTTACTATATAATACGTATAATTGTTAATTATTTAATTTTTTTTTTCTATTTTTAAAGCAATTTTTATTCACTTAATCATCTTTTAAGCATTTAGTATAGTTTAATTGTTATTCATCGCATGTGAAACTAATTTTGTTTTATTTGTCGCGACGAGAATTGTTTATTTTGTAATATTTATATTATTTTATTTTATGGATGGAATCTTCTTTCGCTGTAAACAATCGTTTTCTAGAAGTTTATGGTAATAATTCATTATGAGAAAAAAGAACTCTTGTCTAAGCGAATTTGATCGCGAATATAAAAATAACTAACAAATAAAATCTAAAATATTTATTTATTTTTTATTCTACTGAATAAGCAATTCAGTAAGAATAAAGACACGATAATAACGCTTGCTCGCCTTGTTTTGTATATGTGACGACAATGGTCAAATTAGATGCAAATCGTAGACTTAAGTAAGCTTACTGGGGTGGTTGGTTATATCAGCTTAAAAGAGGAGTATATCTAATGAAAAGTTTATCAATATGACTTCAAGATCTAACATGACTTCTAGTATCAATGTTAAGAAATTTATTTTGAGTTGTGCATATATGTATTCTGTTGATTCTGACATACTAAGCTTGAACTTTATAAAGAAAAATCACTTCTCTTCTCTGAATCTCTAAATTTTGCTCTTCAAACATAAAGCAAGCGTTGAGGTACTTTTGTTTCTTTTCTTTTATTTATCCTTTCTTAAGTTCCTTTCGTCTTTCGCCAAATAACACTTTTGCTCGTTTCAAAACAACTGCTCTCTTCCAGTGTTCTTTGTATGAGTGTTTTCGTTTTTGACTTGTTTTCTAATATTTTTTATAAGAGAATCTTTGTGACATCTTCGTTTTTAGCACCTCTTTACTTAAACGGTTTTTCTAATTTGCAGAGCGCCTCTCTGATTCATACACTAATTCAGTCAAGTTATACACTTTTTTAAACAAACCTTGACACCTATGTATTGTAGACTATTAAATTCTATTTTACTTTATCCTTTGTTCTTTTATGCACTCAACTTCTATTTATGTTCTAAACAAATCTTTACAGCTATATTAAAAGATTCCGAATTAATTTGTCCTTACTTCTTTTATGTACTTCATCCTTTCTATTTATTCGCTAGACAGATCTTAAAGTATATGTTGTACACCTTCTTCGGTTGGATTGGGTTCAACTCGTAAGTTGATATATAATAACTGGATATGAATCCGTGAAATTATATAAAGAAATTCTTATTCAAAAAATAATTTGGTTAGATTAGATTCAACTTGTTAGCAACAAAATATTACGCATTAATCCCGAAATGATTAGCTTATCATATTAGTGACATACTAAATGAAGTTCAAACTATATTGAGTGCTATGTATCCACTTGTAGGCAAATTCACTTGTTGTCATGCTGGTCCCATTGTCCACTGGCTTTA